GCCAAGGCAGAGGGCTGTGCTATGCACTGTGAAAATATTTAACTTGCTCTACTGCTGATGGAAGATAGCCATTGTTTCCCTTCATCAGCAAAGGACTCCTGACAGGTGGAATAGTTTGCCATTGAAGAAAACAGTCGTCCTGGTTTACTAGGAAATTGCATTGTCAAGGCTACTTTAATCCTTTGTCAGCAATGTGCTTGGCCAAGGCAGAGGGCTGTGCTATGCACTGTGAAAATATTTAACTTGCTCTACTGCTGATGGAAGATAGCCATTGTTTCCCTTCATCAGCAAAGGACTCCTGACAGGTGGAATAGTTTGCCATTGAAGAAAACAGTCGTCCTGGTTTACTAGGAAATTGCATTGTCAAGGCTACTTTAATCCTTTGTCAGCAATGTGCTTGGACTGAGTGACCACAAGAGTTAGTCACTGGGTCTTGTGCAACAGGGATGGCAAGAGGCCTGCTGAAGTAATTCATCCATTAATACATAGGCAGCCAAAAAAGCAGATATAGCAATTAGGAAGAAAGGAAATAGGGGTGAACTTTGATAGGAAGCACCCTGCTTAGGCATTGTGATAACTTCACCTTCCCCAAAAGATGAACTGCACACTTTTAAGATTGTTCTCAGGTGCCTAATCTGCACAAGATTTTAAAACCATCTAAAAAGTGACGAGCCCTTTAAGAGTCTTTGGCCTCACCAAAAGGGTGACCTGGGCTCCTACATCATGGATAAAAATGGGATCTAGGCACTTTTGAAAATTTCATGCTAGATCACAAGGCTCTAATCTGGTGGCGTGGAGAAGAGCAGCAATTTTACAGACTCCTAGGATTACTTAGTATTTTAAATGTATCGCAGCAGAAGTATACAGCAGCTTTTAGAATGGAGCAACAGGGAGGGTTTCTGTGCCTAGAGACTAAAACTGAAGGTGGACAGGGATCCTCTCAGTTTGGCAAAAGCTCAACCACAAACCAACTGGTTATCAAAACTGACACAGGAAAGAGGAGCTGAGGCAGCTGTCTGTGTAGCAGAGGATGTTTTTATTATGTGCCTGGAAAAAAAATAGATAGTTGAACAGACAGGTCCTATATACTTTGTATATAAACAAACTGCCAACATACAAAACCCTGCAGTGCTTCCTCCCTTATCCCTACAAAATGATTGTCTTTGTAGTTATGGTAAGTCTGTGTCTAAGAAAGGGGATGGGGAGGATGATTAAAAGGGGATGCCCCCTACACAAAACTTTTTTTTCCCTTGTGACTGTTAGTCATTTGGAAAAAACCTCTGCAAACCTCTTCAGTTTTTAAAAAAAATACAGTGCATATTTCAGGCCAAATGAAAATCTCAGCAATAAAAGTCACAGAAGGCAGAGTGTCACGTGTACGCTGGAACTTGTCTTTCAGCAATCCTGTGCACCCTTCATATTACATGAGTTCTTGCTTGAAAACTCCACTCCATGCTCTGCAGTTCATGCCTCCTCTGTTAGTCCCTCTGCCCTCCAGTAATGCAAAAAGGCCTGAATGATGGCTTTGAAAAATATCTTTTTTACTTCCCTAGCAGCTGCATTGGCTTTTAACCCTTACAATCCTGGCGCTTTCCCTCCTACAAGCAACTAACAGCAAAAATTGTGCTACTGCAGCCTTTAGAAACTAGTGTAGGATAAAACACCAGAGCTAGGAATCCATGTATCGCAGCAGCAAGCATGTGCTCTTTTCAGGGCCGCTCACCAGTGAGCATCCTAGAGGTATGACATACAACTTGGAAAATGGCCATGATTTCTCCGCAGGGAAGCTCGGCAGTGCTCAGATGTCCTTTCACACAAAGAAGCAGCAAAGAGTTTCATTTGAGTCTCCGATGAATTCCACAATGCAGCAGTGAGGACCAGCAGCATGCAGTGGGTGCAGGCATGGTGAACACCAGCACAGCCCATCACCTCCACTGAATAAGGACACTGAATCACTACCCATGGAAGGGGAGATTGTCAAAAGCATATGAGACTTAGGAGCATCACTCACCAAAAACTGTGCTCTTAGGACATGTAGATATTTTTTAAAAATCTAACCATAGGCCATAATGGGAATGACAGAGTAGCTCCTAAATGGACTTTCCACATAGTTGTGGAAACTCTCCCCCTCCTGCCCAATATAGTGTGATATGGTCCTTTGCAGTGGGTCTATAACTCCAAGGAAAAGAGGATATCACCTCTGGATTAATACTGATTTTGGAGGAAGGAGGCAGCTTGCTATGTAATAGGGTTTTTTTTTAGGGGAGGGGAGGGGGCAGATTGTCAAAAGCTTTCACTTTAATTTATTGGTGCTCACCCAAAATTCGAAGATGATGCGCCATGGCAACCTCTCCATTGGTCTGCCACTGCATATGTGCCATGATTAGATGCTTTTGTAACAGCGCACTCTAGCCACAGTGGCTTTCATTACTCCCATTGTCCAGAAACAGAAGCATAATTACATGCCTTCCTCAGGGTCATGGAGCAAGTCAGTAGCAGAGCAGAGAACAGAGGCTGCTTCTATGTATGTACTCTGGCCCTAATTAATCAATTAATAGTTCCCAGGGGAGGCAACATTTTTACAAGAGATAAGGCAAAGAAGGATAAAAGGTTCCCATGTGGTCACAATCTGCCTGGGGAATCAGAGGAGGCATTACTCCTACTGGTGATTGCAGAGGCATTGGGCACCCACATGTTCACATTCTGCCCCAGATGTCTTCGATCCAGTCCTACATGAAGCTAAGTCACTAACCTGGTGCTGCAGAAGCCTATCTCATTTTTACACCAGGCCCAGCTCTTCTGCTGAGAAACTGGATGGTGGAATGGCAAAGGCTCAATCACCCCCCTGTATCTCACCCACTAACCAAGACAGCCTGAGTTTGATGGTTATGTGAAATAGCACAGCCCAGACATTTGTACTGAACACTGGGGAGATGGTCGACAACTTGAGCAAGGGCACTGCTCCAGAACTCTGCCATGTCTTACAACTTTTTGTAAGGATCCAAAGAACTGCTGGAACTCAGTCCTAGAGAGCCACCCTCCAAAGAATATATCAGAGCGGTTGGATGGGCTCTGCAGGAATAAAACTGCTACTGGTAGCATCTCTAGAATGGTCAATAAGCCAGGTAGATAGGAAGAGGCAGATTCAGAATAAAGCGGTTAATGTCTCACCCTTCCCCCTTGCTGGGTACTAGATGGGAAGGGAAATAAACTTGCTCCCTGATCCTTTTATTTAAGAATTAATGTTACATATATTTTAAGCACTTGAGTATTAGCAGGTGGGGTCAGCATTATTTCCTTCTTTCAAAGGATTAAATACCCCACCAGTGGTTTCTGACTAGTAAAACAATTTATAGGTCCATATTGGTGACGTCTAGGACTGGAAGGACAACAAAGTATTCTGTAGTAGATGCTCAATAGTCAGTGACAGAGATATGGTTGTGCTCAAGATTTTATATATTTTTTGTTCCAACAATCCTATTTTGAGTCCTCTGGGTGTTTTGCTTTGAAACTATGAAAAGCACTCATGATGTCTTCCAGGGGAAGAGATGTTTAAAACCAAAACTTAACTGATATACACTGAAGAGATCCACACACACACACACGCACACACACTAAAATAATACTATTAGGTTATTGCATAGACGAATGGCTTGCACTAGTTTGGCCTAGATAATTGTCTGAGAACGCTGCCTGAGGCCTGAAGCTGGCAGAGGGGTTCTGGATGGGAAGACGTCTTGCTGCTGGTTTTCTTCTTTTCTGGAATGTTCTTCATACCACTCCTGAACAAAACAAAGATCAGATGCAATAAGTAGTACTCATAACACACTCAACTCCCCACCTCCCTGTCACTGTCCTAAATAGCACCCTCTTCCCCATCCAAGTGAAACACAAGAGAACCTGGCATGTAATACCTCTCAAATGCACTAGTAAACAGCAAGGGCTTAGACAGAGTGTTTTCCCTCCATTGTGAAGTTTGGATACAGCTATTGCTGCTGACAGGAAAGGCTTAACTTGGGCATTGCTATAACATTTGCAGACTGGAAACACTAAACTCTCAGCTCTGGGGTTCAAAGCATCATCTCCTCACCACTACTGCTGGCAACAGCAGGATGTCCTTGCAAGGATTTCCCACTGCATTTAACCTTCCATTGACATGCCTCCTGTGCAGGATTTAAGACTCATTTACTAAGGGCTGACTGGTCATTTGAATCACTATAAGCGAAAACAGTTGCAGCAAATTTCTGACCACAATTAAGGATAAGCACCAGACTTATTCTCACAGCTCATCCTACTGCTCGTAACAGAAGGGATGCCAGAAAGATGAATACCAGAGGAGTCAATTTCTGCATCATTAAATTAGTCATGACAAATTTTCCTGGGGCTTAATGGCCCCTTCCCTTCAGAAAGGGTTTTTTCTGGTGCATACTCCACCATATACAACATGGGATGTTCCAGGGACCCAATCAGTTCCTTTGGCCTCTGCATTAACAAGGTCACTGGTGTTGAAAAGGCTCTGATGTCTAGAGTGAGTCAGCAGCTTTTTGTCAAAGACTTTTATTCAAACAAATTTTTATTGGGGAACTTTGAGTGTCCAAGTTCCTGCCTGGCTGTTTGGGCACTCACCTGTGCCGTGCGAGATTCAGGTTGAAGTCCCTGCTCGATCACGGTCTTGAACACGGAGATGCCCTAATTGCTGGGCTATTGCTAGCTTGGAGGGCTTGGTCAGTCTCTATCTCATTTCTTAAAGTCTTTGCTTAGTTTAACACTCGTTACTCATGTCAAACCCTCAATTTTTCATTAAAGGGACAGCTTGTTTTCCAGTCAATCCTGGTGACGTCACATTAAGCCTCCAAGGCAATGAAATGAGGAACATGCACACACACAGTTTGCAGTGCTAACTGGTATCCTCCCTGACCGAGTCAGACCTGATGGGGCAAAGGCGGGCAAGGCTCAGGAATAGAAAGGATTATGCTGCCCATGACTTGCTCTAGACCAGCGGTTCCCAACCTTTTCCCGATGGGTACCCATTTTGACAATTCAGGAAGACTTGGTTACCCCAGGCAATTAAAAAACGGGGGGAGGAGAGGCCACCTGAGGAGACACTTGGCAACCCTTTTGAAATGTAATGGTGATCCATATTTGGGTTCTGACCCATAGTTTGGGAAACTCTGCTCTAGTCTATACTCACAGTTCAGACTGATTGTGGATGTTTCTTCACCAACACGCTCAGGATTAGCTTGGTAGGAGTACCTCAGGGCTAAGAGGTGCTAGACCATTAACACCATACATCTCTCCGTCTGAGACAAAGGTGCCCTTACCACAGTGGTGGTATTTAATAGGGTAAATTCATCTAATTACTGATATGAGACAAACTGGGAAAGATGGAAGCTTTAAAACAACTGTCCTTTGCAGCAGAGACATCCTATGTTTGAAGAATATTAGCAGAAACTGCTTAATCAGTTAATCTAGGGCCATGTTTACACTGCAGTATAAAATAATCCACACCCATGTGACACAAGTTGTACTGACTTAAGCACCAATATAGGGGTATGTCTACACTACAAAGTTAATTTGAACTAACAGCCGTTAGTTCGAATTAACTTTAATAACTGCTACACCTACAAACCACTAGTTTGAATTTAAATTGAACTAGAGGAGTGCTTAATTCGAACTAGGTAAACCTCATTCTACGAGGAGTAACGCCTAGTTCGAATTAACTAATTCGAATTAAGGGCTGTGCAGCCACGTAATTTGAACGAGTTGGAGTCTAGTCCTTCCCAGCCTGCCCTGGTGGCCACTCTGGGCCAAACCACAGAAACTGTTTCACCCCCCTCCCGG